CATCTTGTTTTAAAATCTCTCTGGTAAGTTTATCTTAATACTCCTTAGCTTTTGGGGTTTTTCTTCCATAAATTGCCTATTCAAACATATTTTATCTTTTTAAAAGAAATTAGAATTCCTGGCTGTGGACTTAGTGAATCTACAAGATGGCCCACAATGATCCTTGCCTCATGGCATTCACGTCTTTGGGTAGTTTCCTTCCACACTGGATAGGGCAGATCTGTGTAACCAATTGGGTATTAAGGAAATTATGGTGTGTAAATTCTGAGGTCATAAATGATATTGTGGTTTCCACTTTATTCTCTTAGATGACTTGAGCTCTGGGAGAAGCCTGCTGTCATGTCCTGAGGACACTGAAAGAACCTTATGGAGAGGTCCACAAGGTGAGAAATAGCTACCAGCCAGCACAAACTTGCTGGTCATCTGGCAAGTGAGTGAGTTGTCTTAGAAGTGGATATTCCAGGACCTGAAGCCAAGCCTTCAAGTATTTGCAACCATGGCCAACAAGCTGACTGCAAGTCATGAGACCCTGACCCAGAAAGAGGGCGAAGTCACTCTCAAATTTCTAACCTATAGAGACTGTAAAAGATAGTAAGTGCTTATTACTGCTTTAAGTCACTACATTTTTGGGTAATTTGTTATACAAAAGATTACTGACACCCTGATTGCTCTCTGTTGTTGATTTGTAGGACTTCCCTGCATAGTCTAAAAAGATGAGTCCCCTGTCAGTTTTAGACTTTATAAATATCCTCTTTCAATCTACCATTTGTCTATTAAATTTGTCTGTATTGCCTTCTTAAAATAAATCCAAAACTTTGATATAGTAAAATTCATCTATTTTCTGCATTATGGTTCATGCTGGGTAGGGGGAAGGGCTGGTGTTTAAGACTTCTACATCCTAGGTCACAAGGTATTTCCTACATTTTCTTCTAGGAAGTTTTTAATTTCACCCTTTACAGGTATTTTTGGCCTACTTCTATGCTCTCATCAGACCAGGTTTACCTCAATTCAGGCATATATAATTTTTCACTGCAAGAATATGATCCCTTATTTGGGGGCGCCTGGGTGGCTCAGATGGTTAAGCATCTGCCTTCGGCTCAGGTCATGTGATCTCCAGGTCCTGGGATCGAGCCCTATGTCGGGCTCCCTGCTCAGCAGGGATTCTGCTTCTCTCTCTTCCTCTCCCTACTGCTCCTGCTCTTTCTCTCTCTCTGTCTCAAATGAATAAATAAAAAAAAAAAATTCTTTAAAAAAAAAAAGAATATGCTCCCTTGTTTGGACGTAGAAAGAGTATAAATTATAAATACAAAGCATTTTCCATCCTGTGGCTTGAGTAATAAGCTTTACCTATGAATCAACTTACTAGAGCTCATGTGCTTATAAAAGAATTCCTTCTAATAAGCCTGTTTTTCTTACTTACCTAATACTTTAGGAGAATCTAGGTTCAAGTTTCTTGCTTGTCTCTCCTTAGAAGTCCAAATCCTACAAAATAAACTACATTCTTTAGACAACTGAAGGGAGCTCTCAAGTCTTTATCACACTATCACGTATTTCCAGTTTAAATCATTTATATGCAGAGGTCAGCATAAACATTCTTCCACCACTTGGCTTAAATGAATCTATCTTGAAATTGGTGTTTTAAAAAACACAAAGACTTTGCCTCAAGATGTAGAGACCAGGAAAAAGTATTTCTTCCATCCTTGCAGCAAAAAAAGGAACAAAACTAGCTTCAAATTTAAGACTTTATGTGAATCCACAGGAGACCTAAGGTTGCAAAGGAAACAACTGATCCAAAGTCTTCCCTGCAGGAAAAAGGAGAGGTGACACAAGCCCACCTGAGGCAGTACAGCTGGTATAGCTGGCAAACGGGAAGGCAGACTCCAGAATGGCAGAACACTGTGAACCCTTTGGACCAAAGATACCGGGGGGAGTCCACATTGTCTCATAGGCTCTTCTTCCATGAATTCTACCCGGCACTCACAGAAAAGATCAGAAGGGGCCTTAAGAAGTATCCACTGTGGTACAGATCCGGGGTAAGGGAACAGCAGCTCTGCAAAAGGGGCAGAAACTCCACCAAGACCTTTCCCCTCTATCTCCACTACAGAACAAAATTCCTTCAAGAAAACAAGTTATCAAACTCAAGAATAAATAGTTAAGTATAAAGAAAGTAATTGAACCTGTATTTACAAATTTCCAAAACCTCTCAAGGCCCAGATGGTTTCACAGGAAAATTCTAATTCTATACACAGTATCTTCAAGAAAATAGAGAAAGAACGCTTCTCAACTCATATTATGAGGCTAACATTACTGTAAAACCAAAATCAAAGACATGAGAAGAAAACTACTGACAATATCCCTCATAAACACAGATGTAAAATTCATCAATAAATTTCAGCAAATTGAATACAGCAGCATATAAAAGTAATACATGGTTCATCTAACAAATGCAAGGCTGTCTTAATAACCAGTGTAATCTCTATTACAGACATAATACAAAACACTATATGATTGTTTCAATAGATACAGAAGACAAATCTAACATTTATAACAAAAACTCAGCAAACTAGAGACAGAAGGGAGATTCCTTAACCTACTAAAGGGCATATACAACTAACATCCTACTTAATGGTGAGAAACTGAGTGCTTTCTCCCAAAGATCAGGAACAGGTAAGGATTACATTACTCACATTACTCCTAATCAACACTGTACTGGAAGTCCTACCCAGGTGAATGAGTTAAGAAAAATATAAGATACACAGATTGGAAAGAAAGGAGTAAAACTATAATTGCAGAAGATATGACTATTTATGTAGAAAATCTAAAAGGACTTGCAACAAACACCAGGAATTAAAAATGAATTTGGCAAGGATGCAGAAGACAACATCATTATATGAAAGTCAGTTGTATTCCCATTACGAGCAATAAACAATTAGAATTTGAAAATAAGAAACCTAGCAGACACCACCTTAACCGACTGCTTCCTAACATAATGCAAAGAGAAGGAAGGGCACACCAGCTCAGTGGTATTCTTCCCCCCCAATTTTTTTTTTAAAGATTTTATTTGTCAGAGAGAAAGAGCACAAGCAGGGGGAACAGCAGAGGGAGAGGGAGAAGCACGTTCCCCGCTGAGCAAGGACCCCGATGTGGGACTTGATCTCAGGATGCTGGGATCATGACCTGAGCCGAAAGCAGACGCTTAACCAACTGAGCCAGCCAGGCGTCTTTTCTCAAAATTTTTAACCTCAGTCTGAACATGAGCAAACATCAGGTAAATCCAAATTGAGGGACACTGTACAAAATTTCTGTCCTCAATTACTCTTCAAAAGTATCAAGGTCAAAAAAGACAAAGACAGAAACTTTCACAGATTGGAAGGGACTAAGACATGACAACTAAATGCAATGCAGTATCTTGGATTGGATTCCAGAACAAAGACATTAAGTGGAAAAACTGAGGGAATGTGAATAAAACATGCAGTTAATAGTATGGTATCAATGTTAATTTCTTAGTTTTGATAAACATATCATGGTTATGTAAGATATTAACATTAGAGGAAGCCGGGAAAGGGTATACAGGACTTGTGATGCTTCTATAAATATAAATTTCAAAAGAAAAAGTAAAAAAAAAAAAAAGCAAGAAAAAAACTATTACCATTTGCTACTATTTATACAAATCAGATGTTTAAAAACACCATCAGGCTAATATAAAAAGTAAACTGGTTGCAAAGGCTTGTAAGATTGTCATCCATAATCTGAATTTCATCAAAACAACCCACTGTTGTCATAAACTCCTATGAACTTACAAAAACACATACCATTAACAAATCCATTTTTGTTGTATGTATTAAGGATCCCTACAAAGATTTCAATTGGAAAAAACATCTGAAACTAAAAAGGTTTGACCAGCAAAATTTTTATGCCCCCCAGCAGTGACGGAGATAGATAGGACTCATAACTTAAAAAGATTTGAGGTTATTTGTACTTTTGGTAAGATTTAACTGGGAAAAAATGTGGACAATGTGGTAATATCTAATAATGGATATCATTTAGACTGAAGGTATTCAAAACCAGAATATATCAGTAAAATCAGTTTGGAAGATTAAATAAAGAAAGGAAGAGAGCTTGCTGGCTTTATGAGCATGCAGGATACCTAAAGTGTATTAGAGGATGATGCCCATATTTGTATCTCCATACTACACTGTATCAGCACCTTAACTCTGACTTGGTCATTATCTCTATTATAGAGACTTCCTTGCAATACAAGAACTGAACTACAATTGGTAAAAGGAGAAAAGTAAAGGGGCACTGAAAGTAAAGAGAGTATTCTTGAATGATGATAAGAGGAAAAAAAAACAACAACTAAGGTTCCTTAAAAGCAAGGTTAGTCACTCCATTATGTGCAGAATAGAAGGAACAGGGACAAGAGGCAATGTATAAAGAGAATGTCCTAATGGGCACTCTGGTCCTACTGCTTGGCTGTCCCACAGTAGAATGCATTTTACCTTTCTGAACTCCTACATCCAGATCTACACACTGATGTGATACAACAAAGAGATCCTTTTAAAGGCTAATATTCTACTATGCAATCACAACAGGAGAAATATTCCTGAATCCTTAAGTAATTTTGGTGGTATCAACTTACTAAAATAATCAGGAAACAAGGTAAGTATTAGCACATTTCCTGCCACACAATAAGTTCTTCATAAATATTGGCCATTAGCAGGTAGGAGACTTGGGAAGAGGGGAGGGGACAGAAAATAAAAAGAACAAAGAGGAAGAGAAAGGGAAGGTATGTCTAGCCTGCAGTAATTTTTAGCCCTAGTTCATACTATTACAACACATTTAATGCCTTCCTCATAAATGTGAACCAAAAATACTCTTTTATCATCCTATAGGAGATACTTCTTCACTTTCAGAGTTCTTATTTAAAGAAAATACTGTTACCACCTTTTGATAAGAAGCAAGAACAGTTTCTTTACACTCATTTTTATTAAACAAATAAGTCTGGTAGTGGAACTTTTTTTATTTAATGCATAAACATAGAAGTCTCTTTATTAGAGAAATTGTACATATTGGTGAATATGGTCAATGGTCACATCTATGGGTTAATTGTTTAAAAATCAGAAACAATAATTAGGATAGATTCTATGCTCTCTTCGTTACATTGTGAAGTGTCTTGTGTAGTCATATTCTATTGTTGGAATGACAGCTTGTACAAACTTCAAGAAAATTAGAAGATACCTATAGGTCTTTAGCTAAGGAAAACAGATTGGTAAATGGTACTGATTTAAGCTAACATTGTAATTATCCTTATTAAGCAAAGATTTCTCAGAAAAAATATGGAAGACAAAATCTTAAATCAAGTATATTAAAAAAATTCACTCATGCAAGTTTGTTTCTATTCAACATGAGGTTCTCCGTAACTTTAAGACTGCCTGACCCATTCCCATTTAATATTTGAATGTCAAACTTCCTAATAAGTATGAATTCACAGGAGCCCAATTATTTTGATATAAAAATAAGGACAAGGTTGTGCATATTTAAATGAGTGGGAAATGGTTCCTTTACTGCCTGTTAGTTTGCTAGGGTATGTTAGAAAATAAGGCAGGGTAAAGAATATAAAAGCACTGAAGCAAAAGAGAAAAAAATAAAGTGGAAACCCTCTGTAAGGACTGATTTTAAGTTAGTGCATGTACTTGCCATAGAATCTGCTACAACGGACTGTCTTTAATAAAATCCTGATTTTTTCCCTATGTTCCACTGTTCTTGGATATATTAAGAGCTTAATTTTTATTGGGGGAATTGATGAGTCAATTATTAAACACAGAGTCTTCCAAGTTGCTACCTAGCCTATAAGAGAGATGAACGCTCAAGTTATGCATCATGGGGTTTCAGGAGTAAATCTGGTTTAGACTAAAAGTTCTTGGTCTCTCTTTTTTTTTTTTTCTTTTTTAATTTTTTATTGTTATGTTAATCACCATACATTACATCATTAGTTTTTGATGTAGTGTTCCATGATTCATTGTTTGTGTGTAACACCCAGTGTTTCATGCAGAACGTGCCCCCTTTAATACCCATCACGAGGCTAACCCATTCTCCCATCCCCCTCCCCTCTAGAGCCCTCAGTTTGTTTTTCAGAGTCCATCATCTCTCATGGTTCGTCTCCCCCCAAAAGTTCTTGGTTTCTTTTAATGCCAAACAGGACCAGTGTTCCTCTGAGGAACACACTTTATCAGCAATTCTTAAGTTATTTGTAATTCCAAGACAGCGGTGACCCCTCAGTCTACATCTAACACTGAGTGGCATGAACTACCAAGTGTAACATCAACCTAGCACCAGATTAATTCAGACTATTTGGCATTTAAATCATTGATTTTGGCTGCTATTGATGAATCCATGCTATGGGTACATGTATTTCAGGATCCAGCAGTTTAGTTTATTCCTCTTGTCAACCACAGAGAACTAAGTAGGAAAACCATAGTAAGATATAAGAAGGGTGCTTTTATCTGGAGAAAAATAAAAATACTATACTTTAAGAATATCTGAAATATACTTTGTGTGTTTTACTTTTTAATTAACCTATTTGTTAAGCTGAATTCTTTGCTTCAGAGACCTTAGAATGACACAACCTAACTTTACCTGATGGGAAGCACATTTTTTATAACAGTTAAATTGGAAATATACTTAGGGAAAAGATACTCATGTGTTATCTTCTAAATTAGTAGGTTACTCTTCTTTCATCAATAAATTATGCCCACTGAGTTTCTTTTCCATCAAGAGCAATGGTTTTATGTTCACATGCTCTTAGCCATTGCCTCTTGGACAAACAAAAAGCAACAAGCTGCTACCTAGAAAAGTACCTATTGATCGAAGGCTCTGGAACAAGGCAGAGCTGACTGGTGCACACAGGGACATGTGCTAACCAACTGAACAAAGCAGAACTATCACAATGTAACATTTTCCAAATAAAGTCCTACTAAGACATATGAGGGGCTAAAACAAGTTATAGGTACTGTGGCACTAACGTTGTACCAACATTTTCCAAAGAGGAAAAAAAAAAAATCCTAGGAGCCAATATGCCACTAATGACATATATAGGTAAGGATACATATGAACACCAAGTTCTCCCCCTCCTTCTGCAACAGTCTCAATGATTTTCTTCATCACCTCAGCATGCCTAAAAGCAAAAGAACAAATAAATCTTATTAGCATAGAGTAATTAGATCAAAATTGGAAAAGCAAGTTTTTGTGAAGAAATCTACCTTATTAGTGTCTGTGATTTAATTTTAACATAATAATTATAAAATATTCTCCTCCCTACTCCCCAACAAGTCAGATTGTTGAGAATCATGTACAGTTTTATTGGAACACAGGCTAAATTTTAAAAGCTATGGTAGTCAAAACACAATAGCACTAGTTTCCCTATAACAGGGGTGGAAAAGAGTTGGGGGGGTGGTTAGGGCAGCAGAAAGCCAGAGAAAGGGAAATCATGCCAGGGTGTAATTGCAGAGCAAGAGCTCTCTGCTCTAAGAAACAAACAAGAATCAGACCAGGAAAATTCAAAAAAGCTACATGGTAACAGCTAATCAAAAAAACAGACATATTTATAATGCTGTGATTTTGACTATTCAAATATTTAACAGATAATAAGCCTAAATTGGGTTTTAAAAAAGCTAAGTTGGTTAGAGTCACCAAGTTATATATTTTTAATTTGTCCTAATGCATACTGTAAAATTTATCTGATTTTTTTTTTTTTATTTGAGGAGAGCGCATGAGAGCATGGCGGGAGGGTGAGGGAAGGGGAGAAGCAGACTCCTTACTGAGCAGGGAGCCTGACACAGGGTTTAATCCCAGGACCCCGAGATCATGACCTGAGCCGAAGACAGACGCTTAACCGACTGAGCCACCCAGGCACCATCTATCTGATTCTATTTAGAAATAATTTTTTGGCTTTATATAAAAAAATATGTTTATTTGAAGTTTTTGTCCAATCCACAAATCTCTTCATAGTCAACCAGTGTCTTTCCTCTGATATCAAAGTAATTGCCTAAGTATATGAACTGATAAAAAGGCCATGCACAAAAGAATGATCTTTTAGGTACACTCTGGCTTAAATAATGGTGCTTCAGTTTTTATGAATATAAACTTCATGACAGAGGCTGTCAACTTAGAAGATGAGAGTAAAAGTATTAACTCTGCGAATCCAAAAACATAACCTAAGATGGCCCATGGCAAGGCCTAAAATGTACTTGAAATCTCATCTTATAGAACCCCAACTTTTTTGCCCTATTTACATTACATTGCATAACAGTCATTTATTAAAATGTTTCACATTAATTACCAGTTAAACTACTTATTTCTTTTCCAGACTAAAATTTACAAGCAAGAGAGAGACATGCCTCGGTATGATAAGCACTGTCCTGAAACCTCAAACCACCACAGGAGCTGACAAAATAAAATGAAAACTTTTTAGATAATACAAAACTAAAACTAATGACTCTTGAATTACTTTTCAGTTAGCAATATTAACAACTCTTGACATTAAAAAAACTGGAAAAATGAACTAGGCTTTCTATACAATAAAGTTTGAGAATCAAGAGGCTGTAAAAAATGAGAAGAAAATATTAAAGAATTTTTAAAAACTAGAATGTTGCATCCAATTAGTCAATGGAATACTAAAGTTTTCATCTCAAAAAGATTGTTACCAGAATTTCTCAATGTTTTGTGAAAGCTACCCATTAGAAATAACTGAACAAATCATGCATACAGACTCAGCTTCACTTATTTGGCCCTGAAGAAACACAATAATACAAAGAAAATCCCAAATTATAAAATGCACTTGAGTTAGTAGGGCTGAACATCTCTCAACTGAAGAGTAAAGGAAAAGAGAACTCTGCATACATCTCTCTTCACTAACCAATAAAAAGAGATAAACAGGTCACAGAGAAAAACACAAGGATAACTTCATACTCCACATTCATAGAAGGCTACAACACAACAGAGCAAACCATGTCTAAATGATGGGTATTTTTTAAAATCTAAAAAGCATCTTCTAAATTATTCTTGGAGCTAAAAACAGTAGTAAAATCACAAAGATCTATACTATAATTAAACACACAAAGAGAGCAAAAAATATTAATGAATTAAACTTAAAATAAATTGCTGACCTTTTCCTTTTTCTTATACATTTAAACACAAGAACATTTCTAAGAAAGACAAAAGAGAACTGTATTTGCTTATTATATTTTTTTCTGTTAGGACACTTTGTTTACAGATTGCCAAGTAATAAATCCATGCAGTACACACAACACACAACACACACACACACACACACACACACCTGCAGGGGTGAACTGAACACATAGGAGGTGGTGGGAGATGAGGGTGATTTTCAATGGTCACTGTTTTCTTCACATGATCTTGACTGATGTCTTCATACATGTGTTCAACTGTTAAAGGCTGTCTTTGCTGAAACAATAAAAAAATGTTTTGAAATCACTGTTTAAAAACTTTTAGACCTAAACTTCCATGTTTAAAATACATTTATCCCCACCTCCCATATCACTTGTAATATAGAATTCCAGACTATTTAGAATTACCAGACTGTTTGGGGGGAGAGTTTACAATCCATTTATGCCAATAAACGGAGGAGAGAGAAGTCTCTACATCAATGCTATGTGACTTCAGCCACCATCTAATGCAATAAAGATCCCACAAAAAAAGCAAGTTCATGGCTGTCAAAGCATTTTATAACTTTACAACTCATATTTTGGGTCTATTTTGTTTCACTTTTTTGTTTCCCATTCATAATCATAAGAATGACAGGTTAAAACAAGTTAAATTTATTTGTTATCCTTTAATTCAATTAAGTAAATGAATTTAAAAAAAAAGGGTTTTCTGTCTTAAAGAAAAAACCACACATGCCAATATGATCATTCTGTAAATGCCTCCTTGTATATTCAACAAATTTAATACAACAAACTAAGTTTAATTTCCCTTTTATTTTGAAGGAATAACCCTCTGGGACCAAGCAATAAATATGTAACAGATTATTTCTGTTTGATTCTTTATAGTGTTACTGTCACACTGAATAATTCATAGTTTCTTCAAAATAAGAATCAAGTTCAGTATTAATCATGAAATTGTAAAACAAATGATTACTAAAATTTAGAAGGCCACAATATATACCCACAGACCAAATGACAAAGGAATTAAATCCAACAATTTAAAACATTTACATTAAAATACATTTTCTGTTTTTACCTCATCATAGCCGAACAACCATAGTCGTGGTGTCTGGTAATATTTATCATAAGTGATATAAAGGTCATAAGTTCTTGTTTGCAAAATAGCATCTTCACCTCCAGCATCAGTTTTAGCTTTACAAGCTTCTACTATTTTCCTTGTGTCTAGGGTAGCCTGGCAATAGGGGGAGAAATTTACACCCATTAAAATCAGTATGAATCTGACAGGGGCACCTGGGTGGCTCAGTCATTAAGCGTCTGCCTTCAGCTCAGGTCATGATCCCAGAGTCCTGGGATCGAGCCCCACCGTCGGGCTCCCTGCTCAGTGGGAAGCCTCCTCCCTCTCCCACTCCCCCTGCTTGTGTTCCCTCTCTCGCTGTGTCTCTCTCTGTCAAATAAATAAAATCTTTAAAAATATAT